CTCAGGAAATGGGAATGGTTCGACTGGCATGAGGTAGGCCTATAGACGGCACCTACTGACAGCCTAAGAAAACTATTTACATAGCTAAGAGTTGAAGTCTGCTACAGAGTAAGAATCCAGTAGAGCCTTGTACAGCAATTGAACCATGCAGGGTTTTTGGAATCAGGATATACTATCCAGTGCTTGCCAATGTTTTAAGAATGATGAAGTTGCATACAGGAGCATGCACAATACTCAAGCTGCAACGTTCATGGTGGCAGATACAGTGACATTAATTGACTGCATACAGAGTAGCAGCACATAACCCTCAGGCTAGCTTTGTGTGCATACAGGCAGTAAACACTTATTAGGAATTGTAACAGTTATTAGGAATCTCGCTCCATCTAGACAGTTTCTTCCTCCATACGAAGCACAAACAACTAAGACAACAGGGGAAAAAAAAAGTGAGCAAGAAATAAGAACTAACCACTATGAAAGACATTTGAAACACTCCCTTCTAATCAAACTGTGGACTGTGAAACGGAATAAGAAGTGAACAGCAGGTGTGCTGAAAAAAAAGAGAAGCAAAAAAGGAAAAAAAATGTTTAACATAAAAATGTATTTAAAGAAAAATGACAGAAGATAGAATGCAAAAGTAAAGGCAAGTTTTGGAGTGTGGTAAGGAAGTGCTTCTTTATTTGGAGCAGAGTGTAAAGTAAAAAATAATATTAAAAGGATGATGATGGAGAGAGTAATAGCAGTACATTTTTGCCTATGCTAACATCCCAAAACACGGGAAGGGGTCAAAGCAACAGTTGGTCTAAAGATTAACCCTTCTAATTGCATCAGATATGGAGAAACAGTGATTTCTCAGCAATGTATTACTGTAAAGATGCCGACATGATTAGTGATTTGAGGCTTGCTTCTGAGGATACTATGAATGCTGTGCAGTTGTAACATTGCTGCCACCAAATAATACTCAAGTTTTCTGGCATAATTTTACTCAAAGTTCAAAATAAATGCAATCAGTATCTCTTTTTAAAAGAAACTTCAGAAAGCTGACAAAGCATTTCTTATCTATGATATAAGAAATTGAAAATACATTTGCATGATTGAAAATTATCAGGCTTGACCACTGAGACATTCAGATTTTATTACTAAATATTCTCCTAGGTTTTAACACAGAGAATTACATCTAACAAATTTCCAGTCAACCTGATTTTGACATTTGTGAATCCATGTTGTTCCAGTAAACATCGATATTCAGAGCTACTTCTCTCCTTCCCCTCTGTTTGCACAAGCATGTTCAATGACTGCAGCAAAGCTGTGCTTCTGTTTTTCTTCTCATCATCCAGCACCATTTCAGCCAGCAGAAGCCCACAGCCTAATTCAAAAACAAAGGCATGCAGCAGTGCTAATCCATTATCAGACAAGAGCGAATATCAGTTATCCTATAGAAAGGTGCACGCTAAAAGACATTGATTATTTTATTTCTCATTTATCGACCTGCCCTCAGCTAAATGACTCACTGTGTAAACCCCTACCCTTAGGAAAGAGGGGGCGGGAGGGAGGGGGGAAATAAGTCATGAAGTCATTGTCTGTCACAATATCAAGGGATCAAAGCCTCACAAGTTACTTTATGGCTATGCTTCAAAAACGAGAGAAACTAGTTCTTTGGATCTTGCATGAAAGTCATGGAAAAACATAAGGTATGAACAGTACTGCTATTTATTTGGAATATAACACTGCTTCACACATATTGTAATGGTGCCACAAAGTGGTGGAGAGATCCCTGATGGCAAGCATGACAGAAGTAGAGAAGCAGCTGACCTTTCACATTTCTTTTGTGGGGACTACAGTCTTTGCAGTGGGGGAGATCTAGGTAAGAACAGAATGCAAGGAATTCTGTTTTCATGTAGCCTATTCCTTCATCTTCAAATCCATGAGGGGAAAGCAAAGATGAGAGCGAGGGGGACTGACGAGATGAGCACTTTTTACTTCTTGTCTTTTGGCCCTCCTTCTTATGTGATAGTTTCTATCATGGCACAGCAGAGGTAGGAGGCCACCAAGTGAGCTCAAAAGCGATCCGTTTCTGCAGCGATTTGGTGCTGCACAGCACTCCTACCTCTGCTCTGACGCTTACGACTGTCCCCTCAGTGCCATTCTTACCAGCTCACCTCACACACATCCAGTGCTCAAGAAGAAGTTAACCATAACACTGGGGGTGAGGGGATAAAAAAAAATGTTAAGACTCAGCCCCATAACATCAACTACTTAAGTACACACCCACACAAACCACTTATCCCATAACGAACTGATGACACAAGTACAAGTTTTATTTGACAAAGAAAATAGTCGAGCATGTCTAAGGTGAACCTCCACATAAAGAGTCTCTCTCCAGTGGGATTCTCCTGCTCAAATGCATGCATCCAAAAATTAGATAGTTACATTTCAGCTAGCCCTTTAAGCAACATCTGTAGCCCCTCAGGCAGTTTTATATTGCCAGTCTGGAAAAAGTGTGTCTGAATTTTGAACGGTCTGAATGGAAGGCACGAATAGAATGGCCCTCCTATTTTGCCACAGGAAGTTATTTGGAACATCTAGGAAACAACAGGATAATCAGCAAAATCACACCAAGGAAACACAGCCCATCAGGAAGATCCATAAATTCACATGGTGAAATAGAACAGCACAGGGAAGGAAAAAACAAATCTCTTCTAAAAGTTGTTTTCTAATACAACTGAAATTCCTTCATGAGAGGAATTGAAGCAGAACTACGTGTCAACTCTTCCAGTGAATAAATTTTGGCCTCGGCCAAGCGTTACTAGTCATGCACAACTTCCTGAATTAAAAAGTCATTTAATTCAGATTATCAAGGTTTAGCAAGAACATTAGTTTCCAGTCAGAAGGTAGGAAAACCATGTCGAATGCCAGCTACCTAAAAATGTGGTGTATATATATACACACACACACACACACACACACACACATATAATGCCTCCACACTCTCAAGGAGTCAGCTAACAGAGTCAAAACTGAACTGATAGCTTACAAAAAGGGTTTAAGTCATTACCTTCTTTACCATAAGCTTATTTGTGCTGAGTGGTTCAGGGGAAGTAGAAAATTCACATAAAACAAATGACTGCAGTAAGATACCCAACAGCAAAAGTCACTTGCTGTTCAGCAAAGATTTGCTTACAAATATTTGCCTCCTTCGTAAAGCAGTCAAAGTTCAGTGACAAAATTATGCTGGACCTCTCTAATATAACAGCATTTTATTTCATTAAAATTCATATTTACACCTTGCGACAGTTTCCTTTGTATAAAGCATAGCAAAGCTGTGATGCATTACTACAGACACTATGCCCACAGGGCTAGAGATCTTTAAGTATAAAATGCTGTGCCCCAGAGTACACTAGTTTGTAGGGTGGCCAAGCATGTTCTATTCCGTTTTTAGAGTCAGTAATTAAAAGTCATTTTACCTAGAGACACAGATTTAAGTCTGCAACAATTTCAGGTACGCTGGGTTTGAAACTGCAAGGTTCTGACTCAGACAGCTTCCAGCTGCCTAAAGAAAAGCACTGTGAACTTTATGAGTAGCTTTATGAGACATCTAATAACTAATTCGTATTAGAGACGCATTTAGGTAAGTACAATGGCAGACATCATGTCAATGCAAAAAAAGTTTCTAGTTTTATTCAAGTATCTGGATATTTTCCTTGCAAAGTGACTTATACCTCTAATGTTGGAACTAGCTAGTAAGAGGTTTTTAAAATTTCTTAACAGAAGCTTTTTATGAATGCAATTTGGCCTATATGGGCAGTCTTAATTATGTTTCTTTGATTTCACGCAGCTGAAATTCTGTACTAAGCGTGTTTCTCATTAGGGTACTTTTGCCTTATTCAATGCTCAAAGAGCAAAGGAACTTCACCGAATAAATAACCTAACATGGAGCCTGGCAGGCAGATGTGAGTAATTCTTGACCCTGCTCATCAACCTCCTTAAATTGCTGAGGTCAGCAATTCAGCACACACATTGCTTCTTTTACAATGGCTCATTGGGGTTATTCCTGTAGATGTACGTGGCAAGCAAAAAAAACTCAAAGGCCAAGATACAAACTAGTTTTAAAGTGCAACTTTAATCTCCAGGAAGGATTCTACTACAAAGTACACTTTAAATAGCAAAAATAAATATCAATATAGTATCATGAAAAGAAAATTTAGGAATGGTAACACCAATGACAATTTAGTTGATAAAGTAGGATATACAGCATGGCCTACCTCTCCAAATAAAAACGGGACCATAAAGAAATTTCTATTTCTATACATAATTTCTGAGAATTTTTATACAGATCTTCAAATTTTCAAATAAGGAAACAGAAAGCATATATGGCTGTTTTAACTATTTCCAGAAAGATATGAAACTAAGGAAGTAGGAGGAAGAGCTCTCATCTACTTGGAATGCATTGGTTGGAGGTCAAAGGCTACTGAGGTCTGGGACATTACTGCTGCTCTAGGAGCTTCCATGTTTAACTCTAGCTTTTTTTTCACTACCGCCTGAGGAAAAACATGCCCAGGTAAAGATACACTTGAGTGCTTCTCACCAGTCCCACAGAAACTGAAAAATAGGTCTAACAATCCCAAACTGACACAGATGGTAGTGTTCATTTTAATTTTATCATTTCTGATATAACAAACAATAGACACTGAATATACTGCACAGGGAAAATTCTCTGTGTTTTTTCCATAGAGTCTAATAGAAGGTGTGAATGTAGCTTATGCAGACTAGAAGGTTGAACTCACTGTGCTATGCAGCTACGTCACTAAGCTTTACACAACATGAAGACCTGCAACCCAGGAGTTCCAGGCTGCCCCAGACACTTTTTAATGTGTAGAAATCATTCCTACATGAGCTGCAGTCAAACCTTTACTGAAAAACCTGTAAGTCTATGCCACTATAGCAGGTAATGGTCAAAAATGATACTAAGTAACTGACAATACCTGCTCATTAGTAAGTACCAATGTTATAAAAGCTTAGTGTCCCAGGTTCTTAGTGTCTGTGCACACTAAGATGACTGACTCTTCCTGAAGCACAGGACAGCATCTAGCAAGTTTCCTGTCATCTTAATTTGTACATTCGTGAATCGAAATTTCTCCAGGAGTTGTTTATATTCTGAGCCACTTCTCTGCCTGCCTTCAGTCATACTGAGGGACTGTAGGACAGCTCTAGGAGGATGCATCTTCTGTTCATCAAGCACAATTTCTGCCACTAGCAAGCCATTTCCTGCATTCCCAAAACAATCAAAAGTGATTCAGTAATAAATAAATAAAAACCAAAAAAGTCTAGCTAGAAGTGTTTTTTTTTTGTTGTTGTTCAAAGTTTATGATAGAGGTGAAGCCTGATATTTTACTTTAGTGAAAACCAGAAACAAAAATGTCCTTTCAATAATCTTCCCTGGAAGCAATCACTGCATTCGAGAAGAAACAGGGAGCTTAGAGCATCATCTCTACTGTGATCTTCAGTAAAGTCCAGATTCCTTCCTGATCAGGATCTGAAACTCAGTCTTGTTCCTATTTGAAATAAGCAGCTCTTGCAATCTGTCATAGCCCAGTCACCACATAACAAGGTGAAGACAGTCATCCACAACTCAGTTTTGCTATTTAAAAATTATGCTCAAAGGCCTAGATTTAATATTGAATGCTACTCTATGAAATAACTACAGTTTCCTGCTGGATTAATTCCTGCCATGTTTAACTCTAGCTTTTTTTTCACTACCGCCTGAGGAAAAACATGCCCAGGTAAAGATACACTTGAGTGCTTCTCACCAGTCCCACAGAAACTGAAAAATAGGTCTAACAATCCCAAACTGACACAGATGGTAGTGTTCATTTTAATTTTATCATTTCTGATATAACAAACAATAGACACTGAATATACTGCACAGGGAAAATTCTCTGTGTTTTTTCCATAGAGTCTAATAGAAGGTGTGAATGTAGCTTATGCAGACTAGAAGGTTGAACTCACTGTGCTATGCAGCTACGTCACTAAGCTTTACACAACATGAAGACCTGCAACCCAGGAGTTCCAGGCTGCCCCAGACACTTTTTAATGTGTAGAAATCATTCCTACATGAGCTGCAGTCAAACCTTTACTGAAAAACCTGTAAGTCTATGCCACTATAGCAGGTAATGGTCAAAAATGATACTAAGTAACTGACAATACCTGCTCATTAGTAAGTACCAATGTTATAAAAGCTTAGTGTCCCAGGTTCTTAGTGTCTGTGCACACTAAGATGACTGACTCTTCCTGAAGCACAGGACAGCATCTAGCAAGTTTCCTGTCATCTTAATTTGTACATTCGTGAATCGAAATTTCTCCAGGAGTTGTTTATATTCTGAGCCACTTCTCTGCCTGCCTTCAGTCATACTGAGGGACTGTAGGACAGCTCTAGGAGGATGCATCTTCTGTTCATCAAGCACAAGTTCTGCCACTAGCAAGCCATTTCCTGCATTCCCAAAACAATCAAAAGTGATTCAGTAATAAATAAATAAAAACCAGAAAAGTCTAGCTAGAAGTGTTTTTTTGTTGTTGTTGTTCAAAGTTTATGATAGAGGTGAAGCCTGATATTTTACTTTAGTGAAAACCAGAAACAAAAATGTCCTTTCAATAATCTTCCCTGGAAGCAATCACTGCATTCCAGAAGAAACAGGGAGCTTAGAGCATCATCTCTACTGTGATCTTCAGTAAAGTCCAGGATCTGGACTGATCAGGATCTGAAACTCAGTCTTGTTCCTATTTGAAATAAGCAGCTCTTGCAATCTGTCATAGCCCAGTCACCACATAACAAGGTGAAGACAGTCATCCACAACTCAGTTTTGCTATTTAAAAATTATGCTCAAAGGCCTAGATTTAATCTTGAATGCTACTCTATGAAATAACTACAGTTTCCTG